TATATCACCCTCCTACCCAGGGGGATGGTCTTGCAGCAATCTCGTCTCCATCCCCCCACCAAGAACAGATTTTTCAGGACCAGCAGTTAATGTAATGGCTATGTTGCTGAACTCCCATGTAGATGACTGCAGTTCGAGTCCCAGACCTGGTGTGACTGAAACTCATGCCGGGAGCGTGTGCGTGCGTGCCCAGAATCCGAGAGGAGAATGAAGGAGAAGAGATTATGGCATGGCCATCCCCTTCCAGGGGGTGTGTGATTTCTCACTTTCTATCTCTCTGTCTCTCTGTCAAGCACACGCACCCTATAGCAAAAACCTCTCAAAAAAAAAAAATAAAATAACAGATTTTTCTATAGCACTCATGAACTCAATGGAGAGATAAAGGGAGAAATCACCCCCTCAAGGGGGATGGTCATGTCACAATCCCTTCTCCTCCATTCTCTTCTCAGGATTTTGCACACTTGCACACACACACACGCCTCACATGAGTTTTGAGCCTCCAAATCTGGGACTCCAACTGCAGTTGGCCATGTGGTAGTCCAGTGCCTCAACCACCATGCCACCTGCTAGCCCCCACCTCCATTCTTTTCTTGGGATTTTGGGCGCATGCACACGTACTCAATGTGGTTCTCAGGCCGTCAGGTCAGAGACTTGTACCACAGTCAGTTGTGTGGGAGTTCAGCTCCTTAATCACTATGCCACCTGTTAGCCCCCTCTTTTTAATGGCCAGAGGACGCATGTACACACCAGAAGTAGAAAGACAGAGAGGGAGAGGACAAAGTACCTGCCAACAGGGCATGGTCATACCTCAATAATACCTTCTCCATTTCTCCATTCTGTAGGGATCTGGGGCACACAGAACCAGGTATCTGACATGTTTTTCTTTCTTTCTTTTTTTTTTAAAAAGAATCATTTATTTTTAATTTTACTTACTCATTTGTTACTTTTTAAAAGTTCTGACCAGAGAGAGACACACAGAAAGAGAGAAAACAAGCCACCAGGTCTGGGACGTGAACCGTGGTTAGCTACATGGAAGTGTCCAGAGCCTTAATCATCACGCCACCAGCCAGTCCCATTATTGGTTGTTTTTCTAGTTGTGGGGCATGGGATTCGAAATGTATTGGCAACATGGGATCCAATTTGCTCTTTTTTAAAGATTTAATTTTATTAATTATTATTGTTATTTAAATAATTATTTATTTACTCATCTATTTCAACTTGACCAGAGAGGGACAAAGTGAGTGAGTGACAGAGAAAGAGAAAGTGAGAAAGCAAGCTGCCAGGTCAGATATGTGAACTGTTGTTGGTAGTGTGGGAATCCAGTGCCCTTAACCACCATACCACCTGCCAGCTCCAAAGAATCCGGCTCTTAACCACTAGGCTATGAGGCTGGCCCACTGTCTTCCTTTCTCTGTTGAGCTTGCACGCGCCCTCTGGCATTAGAGAGAAAAGAGAAAGAAGCCGATTGACTTTTCACAATGTCTCACCATGTCACGTTTTTTGCAGCCTCATAGCAGGCTAGGGACCACAGGTTGTGTGTCACTGCTCCTGGTCTGCACAGGCTGAGCAGAGAATCAAACCTGGGCCTCAGCCTTCTGAACAGCAGTGTCTCAGATTCATGCGCCACTGCGACCAGACCCATGCAGAACTTGGGGAAAAGAATGCTCAGCACAGTATGTTGGCTTACTGGAGAGCTCATTATTTTTCTGGTTGGGAGAGTTGAGGAAAACGATGGGTAGAAGGAGTAAAGGAATCAAGGGCTAAGGAGTAAAAGTGCAATCTCTTACACACTAAGAAACTACAACCTGTCCTGTGGTAGCAATGTCCATAGGCACTAGCCCCGACTCCTGATCATTCTTGCGGTTTCGAACAACTATAAATGAGAACAGCCAGCTTAACTTACTTGTCTAATTCCTTTATAAATTATGAAACGTGTGGAAAGAAGGGAATAATATGGGGCTGCTTTGCTTGTAGGAAGATTTCTGCAAAGGAAAAAGCATGGGCACTTAATCTATACACTGATAGTAAGGCTGAGAGGCTGGATCATGTCATCGGACTGCTTTGTGTTCCTTGGAAACTAGTGCTGAGTCAATGTGAGTTAGATGCCATCTCAAATGTCCTCAGAACATTCCTGTATAATGTGAGGTAGGAGTGACGTCTACAGTAATTTTCAGGGACAGGATGAGGCACAAAGATCCAAAGGTATCAGGTCACGCACTGCATGGAAACAAGTCAGAAGGCAATCAACATTTACTAAGCATTCTCTGGTTGCAAGCTTATGCCAGGTAAGAACTCTAGCTAGAACCACACCAAAGTTCAAGAAAATGTTGTCCTTAAATGGACTCTACCTAGTTTAAGGACTGTTCCTACTTTCTCTGCACTGCTATTGTCTTTCCACTGTTTCAGTGTGTATGGACTTTTAAGCCATCACAGAACAGCTATGACCCAGATACCCAGTTGGGAAAGACCTATGGGTGCTTTACAAGGGTAGCCCCCCAAAACATATACCATGCTTATACCCCATGTTAGGCACTGTGACAAGACCCGGGAAAAAGGAAAACACAGAAACCAAGGTCCTTCCTTTGAAGGAGTAGCTGGTGGGCCAGCTCTACATTTCCAGAAAGCAGAATATGATTTGATAGTCAAAGGTAAATACAAATCAGAGTTTAGGACAGGAGAACGTACAAATCACCAGATGAAATTATTATGTTTTTGGTAATTTATTCTACCACTTCTCTCATCTCCCTAAGCAGTAAGAAACTTAATGGTATAAGAAACAATCTTTTTTTTAAAAAAATTATTTATTGTATTTTATTTACTTATCATTTATTTTTTTAATTTGACCATAGAGAGACAGAGGGTGAAAGTGAGAGAGAGAGAAAGTGAGAAAGCAAGCCAACAGATTCAGGACTTGAACCCTGGTCAGCCATGTGGGAGTTGAGTGTCTAGCGCCTTAACCACCGCCACCTGCTGGTCCCCTAAGAAACAATCTTGTATAGCTCAGTATCTCTAAATTTCTGGGAGGTGGGAAGGAGCCACATGTAGAGACTGTAGAGGTAGCTGGACTGTTTCTCAACATGGGCATGTACCCATAAGGACATGAGAGAGATGATAATGAGGACACCATAAGGTTTAGTCAGCCAGCCAGGTGCTGCCACTTATTACCTGGGGGAACTAAAGTGGGGTAATAATCACCTTTCTCTTTAATTTGCCAGATGGTGTGTATATTCACTAGAGACAAAGTGAGAGAACCCTCCCTCCAGTAGGGGATGCTTATGCCTCAATCCTTTCTCCTTTATTTCTCCTTCCTTTCAGGGTTTTAGGCATACATGCACATGTGCACATGTGCCCAGGGTTCCCACCCCCACCCCAAGCTACTGGGTCTGGGACTCGAACTGCAGTTAGCCATGTGAGATTCAGCTGTCTTAACCACCATGCCACTGGCTGGCCAATAAAAATAATAATAATAATAATAATACTCTCTAACAAAATTATTGTAATAAGGGAGATAACATCTGTAAACTATCTACTCTGCTCATGGGACTATGAAGAACTACATATGTTTTGCCTTATCCTAGATTAGCAACTAGTATCCGCTACTAGCTTAGTGGGACTTATCACACTTTCTTTTATTTTGGCCTAAGAAAACAAGCTGATTCATGTTTTTTTTTTCCTCTCCAAGAACTCTGTGGTTGGTACTACTCTAAAGAAAAGGGGGGGGCACAGTGGTAAAACACAATTCTTTGTGAGGCTGACCCACATGTGAAGGGATGTGTCTGGAGATCTGAGTAAGCTGGGTGTGTGTGCCCATGATCTGGGTTGGTTGAAGCTAGGTGTGGGTTATGGCGTCTAAACCATGCTGGGAGTGCTGTGTGTCTGGGTCATGGAAGAGATAAGTTTAAAAAGGAAGAAGAGGCCAGCAAGTGACATGGTGGCTAATGTGCTAGAAAAGCTGGATTCCCAAATGGCAGACTGTGGTTCCAGTTGAGGATCCAGTGACTTGAATTTCACACTGGGCACGTGTGCCCAAAATCGTGACAAGAATGGATTGCAGTATGGCCAACCCTGCTGGGGGGGTGATTTCTCATTTTCCCTTTCTCTGCTTCTCTCTGGTAAGCGCACATGCCCTATGAAAGGGTAAAACCTGCACTGATCTACAAGCCCTCTCTTTGGGCATTTGGCTCAGAGAATTGAATGATAATCAGTAGACACTGTCACTACATAATGTCAACTGACAAAAATATCATGAGGCAAACTCACAGTAAATTCTGCAATACTTAACCAAAATCGTTCTTTAGCCATTTAAAGCTTAAATTGTCCCAGATTCAACTTTTTTTTTTTGGAGAGATTTTTTTTTCACTGTAGAGTGCGTGCGCTCGCCAGACAGACAGAGAGAGACATAGAGACAGAAAGAGAGAAATCACCCCCCAGGGGGGATGGTCACGCCGCAATCCCTTCTCCTCCATTCTCTTGGGATCTTGGGCACGCATGCACACGCGCCCGGCGTGAGTTTTAAGCCACCGGGTCCGGGACGTGAACCGCGGTCGACTACGTGGGAGTCCAGCGACATAGCCATTACGCTAACTGCTGGTTCCCTCAGATTCAACTTTATCACCACACCCACCAAGCAGTCCTAATGATACCAGATTCAAGAAAATTGTCAAGTCGCTATTATACACCATGCACTATGTTAGGACTTACAAATGCAGGATGTTGTTTCTAAATAAGAATAATCACAGAGAGACATCAAAGAAACAGACAGAGGACTCTCCAAATTGCTGGTGTTGACAAAGACTTGCTTCTCTTGCATTTTTGCCCTTGATGCAAAATTACTGCCTTTTACTGGGCTACACCCTGTTTGGCTCACAGAAGCTGAAGAAATTATAACCTAGGTGACTAGCTGAATGCAGTATTCTCCAGCAACCACGGGAGATAGACGTGGATGGTAACGTATTACTGTAGAGGAGGAAAGGTCAGATGGAAAGGTTTTATACACTCACATCCTTCTCCTGGATGGTGCACTCCTTACAATAATAGGCATCAGAGACTCCGGGCCCTCCACAGATGACACAGCGTCCCTGGTAAGAGCCATAGTTGCATTCATCACATATGCGAACCAGGGTACAGGGACGCACATAGGAGTCGCAAATCACACACTTGCCGTCACCTGCAAAGAACAAAGAAAGTAGTCATGCTTGCTACCTCGTACTTCAAGTCCTCGCCCTTTCCCTGCCATGAGGATACAATAGTCTCCTTTTAACAGTGACCAAGGCCCTTCTCTGGCATCACAAAACTCAGTTTATTCAATGTCCATCTTGATCCCAATATATATAAAAAATGAATCAGTTAACATACGTAAAGGGCTTATAATAGCACCTGGGTAATTATTATATGTGAAAATACTTCAAAAAATTAGTGGAAAATAGAATCAGTACAAATTTACTGGGGCCAATAGGTGGTGTGCTGGTTAAGGCACTGGACTCCTACATGACTGACCGTGGTTCAAGTCTCAGACCTAGCAGCTTGAAAAAAAAAAAAATGCAGTGTGCATGTGCATGTGAGTCCAAAATCCTGAGAGAAGGGTGATTTCTCATTTTCCCTCTCTGTCTCTTCCCAGCAGGCACATGCAAAAACGAAAAAAGAAAAAAAAGCACACATTTGTTTTGGTACAAAAAAATTAGAAATAAAAAATTTGAAAATAGAACTTCCATATGACCCAGTAATCCCACTTCTTGGTATTTAACCAAAGGATAGGAAAACACTCAGTCAGAAATATGTCTGTACATCCATGACACTTGCAGTGAGGGTCACAACTGGTAAAACATGAAAGCAACCTAAATATTCAAAATTGATGACTAGGTTGAAAACTGGCACATATACACTATGTAATATTACATAGCAGTAAGAAACAATGAAATTCTATCGTTTGACTCTAAATGGGTGAATATAGACTTAAATGTTGAGTGAAACGAGCCAGACTTAGATAAAAGATACGCATTGTATAACCCTACTCAATTGGTACTTAGCAGTATGGCAGAGGTTGAGAGACTTGAAAGTGGCATGGTGGAGAGGATGGGTGTAAATGCTAGAGACTGTAAGGGAGTGAATGGTAGAGAGTGGGTGATGGAGGATGGATGTGAGGTACAAGGGGAAGAAACATTTGATAGATGGAAGGAAGAAAATGTTAAAAAAAAAAAAGAAAACATTAATTATGAAGTTAACTAAATTCTGTTGTGTAGCAGATTATTTCACAAATTGGTTTAATTATATATGTTCATTAGGATTAAAGTATGCATGGTGACATTTATTAAGGAAAAAAAAGAAAATTAGATAGCAGGCAGGAAATAAACAGAACTGGACTTTCAATAACTTTTATTATTGGGACCAGCAAGTGGCATGGTGGTTAAGGGTGCTGGACTCCGACATGGCCAATCACAGTTCAAGTCCCAGACCTGGTGCCTTACTATCTCACTTTTTCTCATCTGTCCCTCTCCAGTCAAATTAAAACAAATAAATAAATAAAGTTAATAAAATAATTCTTAAAAAGACAAAAAAAATTACTCTTACTACGGATGAGAAGTTAGTGAAGGAATACAAGATTTCAGTTATGTAAGTGATATAAGTTCAGGAGATCTGCTGGACAATATGATGACTATAATTGATATCAATATTCAAAAATTGCTAAGAGAATAGATGTCAAATGAAGATTTCTTGCCACAGCAAAAACTGGTCAGTATGTCAAGAAATAGATAACATTAGTTGGCTGGATCTAGCCATTCCACAATGTGTACATGCATAAAAATATATACCATAAATATATTTGTCAATTAAAATAAATAATTTTTTAAAAAGAGTTTTTTGCCACAGGGCACGTGCACTCACCAGAGAGAGAGAGAGAAACAGTGAGAGTGAAAGTGAGAAGCTACTCACCCCCCCGGAAGGGGAGCGATGGCCACGCCACAATCTCTTCACCTCCACCCTCCTCCCAGGACCTTGGGCATGCACACACACGTGCCTGGCATGAGTTTTAAGCCACTGGGTCTGAGACTTGAACTGGTGGTAGTCCAGCAATATAAGCACTACACTATCTGCAGGCCCCAACAAATAATTTTTAAAGACTCAAATACAAAAAAAACCAAAACACTATGCATAGTATTTTTATAACACTAACTTTTTGAAGCCCCTCTGTATAACTATTGGCAAAAAACTCATGTGGTCCAGGTATGGTGGCACAGCTGGTAGGGCACTACTGAGCGGTACTGGAGCCACGTTGGAAAGACCTCCCATCCTGTGAGACCTGCTGGACACACGAGTCACCACAGTGATCCTGGCTGGCTGGGAGGGCGGGATCAGGGCACAGTGAGAACCTGTCACAGAACCTCTCTCTCTCATGGGAAAAAAAATAAAAATTAACAACAATAGGGGCTTGTGGGTGGCATGGTGGTTGGGGGTGCTGGACTCCCACATGGCCGACCACAGTTTGGGTCCTGGACCTGGAGGCTTTCTTTCTCACTTTCCCTCTCTTCCTTTTGCTTGCTACATCCCTCTCTAGTCAAATTAAAATAAATGAATAAATAAGTAAATAAATAGAGAAATACAGTTTGAAAAGCACTAAGGACAGTAACAGCAAACTGTGTATGTTGAGGAAAGAGGACCTTACTCTCATAATTCTTCCTTTTCAAAGTTAGAGATTTTCTCTAAACCTAAATACAGTGTTTAAAGTGTGTAAGAAGGACTGGGTACAGAGAGGGACCTCTGGCTGCAGCCTGCCTTTAGTGCTCCCATACGTTCAGGCATATCTAACTCAAAGCTCTCCTTGTGGCACCTGTGCTGCATCCACACAAACTGGCAGTGGGAGGATGAGGTGTTGAGAGGACGCGTTCCACTTACATTTTTCACACAGTCTTCCAATGGCTGCAAGATAAAAAGACATTAAAGATTACAAACAGAATTAAGGTTCTGACGAAGAAAGCAGGTACATCTGCAAGCTAGGGGTACGGACAGGAGAAAGGACTGCAGTGAGCCCTGCGGGATGGCCATCTTATCCTTCAAAATTTCAACCTGAACCAAACCTACAGCCCCAAGCACCTCCTGAAGCCACTCCCAGGTCCTGCTTATCTGAGACAGTGTTTCTCTAGACCTGGCCCAGACCGTTCCCGCCGCCGGCCTCCAAGTCCTCGACACGCGTTCCCCGCCCTCGTCTCCAGAGAGCCCAGAAACCCGCGCGGTTCTACAATACGCTGCGACCGCGAGGCGGGAAACGCGACGCCTGCGAGCTAAGACCTTGAGGAAGAGGTATACTCTGCGGTCTCCCAGCTCCTCAAACCACCCGCACCAGAGAGCCGGGGCGGCGCGCCGTCTTACCTACACCAGCTTGCTTGCGGCAAAATATCAAGTCCGGATGATGTTTAGCCATGGTTCCCTACCAAGCCGGCCACCGGAAGCTTTGGAAACTTCCGTCCGACCTTTAACCCCCATTGTTCCTACCTCTAGATCGCCCTGATTGGCTCTCCAGGCTTCGATCAGCGTTCACTAGCTCTACAGCGAGCCTAGCTGGCTCTCGCGCGAGTTTCCGGCTCTGCGGCGAAGCCAGGTCCTGGCAGCTGCGTGATAGTCTTAAAAAAAAATATATATATATAGGTTTCCAAGCTATAAATGGCAGAGAAAAATGAAATTTGCTCCTGAAAAAAATTTTTAGAGGTATTTACTTCTGCAAGTGTTTATGCAGCTTTTGCTTTCACCTATTTGTTCCTTAAACGTGAGCTCCGCCCAGTGCCTCCGCGGTGATCTGGCGCCTCTAAGAAGGCCCCGCCTTCACGGTGACGCAGCCCTCTTCAAGCCACGCCCCTCCCCAAAAGCTCTAAATAGGCTGTGTGGCACGTCACTTTCACGCGACCTCATCTTTGTCAGTGCACAAAATGGCGCCTTACAGCCTGCTGGTGACCCGGCTGCAGGTGAGCGAGCTCAGGGCCCTCTACCTTTACGGGGGCGGGATGTCTCCTCTTGTGCCTACGGCTGTGGGCGAGGCGAGGCAGGCAGGTTCGACCTCAGGCCGACTTTCCGTCTACCTGATCTGGTTTCGGGCCCAACGCCCATGCCCGCTTCTCTGGCGCCCTAGGTCAAGGCGTCCCAGGCAATCCGTCCCCCCACAGCCCTGTCCCCGCCCCGCGAGAAGCGTGGGTTTAAGCAGCGACAGCCAGGTAGAGTGGCGGCACCTCTTTCTCCTTTCTGATGAGCACACGCTTAGCTCCCGTTGGGTGTCTTTCTGTTCTTCAAGGTGAGGACAAGGTTACTGGTGGGCGCGGTCGTTTTTGAGCACTCTAGGCTCAGTGCCTGAAGTCCTCACGTCCCGTCTTTCAGTAACAGATACGTGCTAGCCAGGCGCTTCTGCAGTCGCTAGGCCTGGAGTCTGGAGACTAAACTGGTATCCTCTATCATCTTTGTGGACCCTGGGAAACACAGCCAAGAATGCGGGGGGGAGGGTCTTCAAGGCCACTTGGATATTTTGATGGTAATAGTAATCTCACAGCTTTGTACCAGATTCCAAGACTACTTTCATTCCTCATAATGCACTTTGATTCATATAATCATTTGTCATATAGAAGGTAGGAGATTTTTTTCTCACTTCATAGGTGGTAAAACTGCTAGAACGGAGGATGGCTCTCAGTAGTGTCATCCAAGTGCTGTGGTCTGACCATTAGCTCCCCAACTCATCTCTTCTAGTGATCATGCCGGCCTGCCCTTACCCGGCAGAACTTTCTGATTTTGGGTATGATCTTTTGTGTTTGTGAGAGTGCAGAATAGAATATTTTGAGCTCACAATTAGTTGCTTTTCAAATACTAGATGGGAGGATAAGGAGACTCAACAATTTGACCTTGACACTCTTGTAGTGAGCAATCTACAAAGCTGACTGACTGCCAGGTGATTTTTTTACTCCCAACCTGACAACTCTTGGAAGTGTTATACTCAAAAGTTCAATGTCATATGTGTATTTTGTTAATAAAAATAAAGGAACCAAGTGTCTGTAGGCATTTTGTTAAACTTTGACAATGAATTTGTGAATTTTCTCTGGATCAAGTGGCACAGTTTTGATTAGAAAAAGTTATGTACTGCATTTGCAGAAAGCACTGTGTTAACTTGACATTATTTTTCACAATTTAAACCATACTTAAACCCACTGTTTAAAGTAAATTTGTCCTTTATCTGAAAAGGATAAATTTATCCATTATCTGATCTCAAACCCATGCAAAGGCAAAGGATTTGTACCTGATTATCTCTTCATGTATTTTGATTCTTTGATTAATGAGGTGGATATAATTGTTTCTTACTAACTCTGCTATCCCATGATTTAATGGAGTCAAGCCAGGCTATTTAATTAGAGAGATGATTATGAATATATTGAGCTAAGAAGAGAATAATATTACAACATTTTTTAGCTGAATAGGATCTTGGAAAGTATGAGTGCTAGACTGGTGTGGAAAAGATCTGGGATATAGTTCAACTTGTACTGTGATCCTGTGACCTTGAACAAGCTACTTCCTGTACTCCAAATATATATTAATTGATCTTCATTGAACATATGTTTATTAAGTACTTGGATTATTAGAAAGTGAATAGCAAGTAGAATGTGTTTATGACCATCATGTAGCTAGCTCAACCTCCTCTTTTACAGATGGAGAATCCAAGACCTTGAGAGCCTGGGTGACTACCAGTGGCAGAGGCAGGATTAAAATCCAGGACTCCTTATTTGTTCAGCTAAGATGAATACTGTGTATTATACCACACTGCCTCCCAATAGCCAGGCTGTCTCAAGTAATGATCAGCAAATGCTGTCCTTTAGAATTTTGTAAATTTACCTCTTTTGTGCCTAGATACATTTGAGAAATAATGGTTACTACCTCAGAGGTCATGTCTGTAGGACCCTATCCATACATTCACAATAGTTCCTTCCTGCTTCATGCACCACATACTTCCTGAGCACCTGCTGACTGCTCCAGGTACATTAGTAATTAAAGACAGTTCCTGTTCCCAAGAAGCTTCTGTATTCTTTTTTTTAATGATTTATTTCATTTTATTTATTATTATTGTTATTTTTTAATTTGACCAGAGAAAGAGAGAGAGAGAGAAATGGAAAGTGAGAAAGCACACTGCCAGGTCTGGGACCCGAACCCTGGTCAATCATGTGGGAGTCCAGCACCTTAGCCATCACACAACCTGCTGGCCCGAGCTTCTACTGTATTCTCGAGTACCTACTACAAAGAGCTTGGAGGGGGGACCGGAGATGGCGAAACGGTTATGTCAGTGGACTCCCACATAGTCGACCACAGTTTGCGTCCCAATCCAGTGGCTTGAAACTCATACCATGCATGTGTGCATGCATGTCCAAGATCCCAAGAGGAGAAGAAGGGTTAGTGGTGTGACCATCCCCTCCGCCAGGTGATTTCTTGCTTTCTGTCTTTCCTGCGAGCACACATGCCCTATAGCAAAAATCTCTTTAAAAATAAAAAAAAAGAAAGAAAGAAAGAAAGAAAGAAATAGCTAAAAGCATTTTCTTAGCCAAAATATTTTTCTTCTGCTCTTGGCTGGACCAAAGGTGAAGGTAGATAATGGCTATTACAACTACTAAGAGTAGCAACATTTATCTAATTGTATGTCAGTAATCTCGTATAACTCTGTAAGATAACGCAGACCTGTTTTATAGATGAAGAAAATAGGATTAGAGGGGAAATATAGTGTAAGAGTTTAGAGCGTGGACTCTGGCATCAGACTGCCTAGGTTTGGATCCTTTCCCTAATACTCAGGAGCTGTGACTTGGAAGTTTCTCCACTTTTGTGCGCCTGTTTTCCTTACCTGTAATAGGTGATAATAATACTACATTTTTAAAAGTTTTTTAAAATTGTATTTATTATTATTATTTTTAAATTTTGCTATAGGGCATGTTTGCTCACTAGAGAGAGATAGAAAAGGTGAGAAAACAAGCTGCCAGGTTTGGGGCTTGAACCACAGTCAGCCATGTGGAAGTCCAGCACCTTAAACACCACACTGTCTCCTGGTGCATTACATCTTTTTTTTTTTTTAAGAATTATTTTATTTTATTTATTTTTAAATTTGACTAGTGAGAAAGGGAAAGTATTGAGAACCCCCCTTGGCCCTTAGTAAGTGCTATATAATTGTCAAATAATATAAATTTGCTGAGGCCCTTAACACTAGATGTTAGTAGACATGACTTGAACCTGTACATTTGTGATTCAGAGTTTTTTTCTGGTACTATATACTGCTCCCCTTTGCCATTAAAATCAGCCATGGAGCCAGCTGTTGGCATGCTTAAGGCTGCTGGATCCCATAGGGTCAACTATGCAGTTTGAGTTTTAGACCTGCAGCTTGAGAGACTCTGGGCACTTGTGTGTGCATGCTCAAAATACTAAGAGAACAATGGGGGCATTTTAGGCTATGCGACAAAATCCAGTGGGATTGAGAAATAAGAATGTGAAGCAGGTCCAGCCAGGTGGTGTAGTCCATAGCATACTGCAGTGCTGAAAGCCACATTGCCTAGTATGGGTTCAGATCCCCAGATTAGCCTGAAAACATATCAGGTGTGCACACAAGTTCTGAACATCCTGAGAAGCTGGATCAGAATGGGGAAGGGGGAATCATGGCATGTTGAGATCCTGTCAAGGGTGCTTTCTTTGTCTAAAAATCAAATATGAGGGGCCAGCAAGTGGTGTGGTGGTTAAGGGTGCTGGACTCCCACATGGCTGACTGCGGTTCGAGTCCCGGACTTGGCAGCTTGCTTTCTCACTTTTCCATCTCTCTCTCACTCTGTCCCTCTCTTGTCAGGTTAAAAAAAAAATAAAAAGTTAAATAATTCTTTTTAAAAAATCAAACAGAGGACATGGTGGCGTAGCCATCTGCAAACCTTTGTAGAGAACATTTGCAAACAATAAGGCCTTCTGTTTTAGAAGAAACCCGAAGATTCAGCAAAATGACAGGAAATTGCTATGGAAGAAAAAACATATCACAGGAATCCAGACTCACAGGTCAGTCAATACCCAAACCATCTGAAACAGCTACTTGGCTGAAAAGGCAAGACTCAGGGAGCAGCTAAGTAAAGTTGACCAGGCTTGTTCAGAAGAACGAGTTGGCTGGACCAGCCAGAAGCATGGAGGTTAAGGCAGTTGGATCTCACATGGCTGACAACACAGTTCTTGGGTTCCCAACACAGTGACTTAAAAAACATGCTATGTGTGCATGCGTGTGCTCACGCACATGCACATTTCCAAAATCCCAAAGGGAGGGAGAAATGGAGAAGTGTTGTGGCGTGACCATTCCCCATGGGGTGCTTTTTCACCAAACAAAGCAATACAAAGGAACAAGTTGCCAGCCTTTATCTGAAGAGCCTAGACTTTGTCTAAAGATCAACATAGTTCACCAACCTCAGCCAGAGCAATACAGTAAAACAGTAAACTC